GAATAAAAATTCAAAATAGAAAGCAAGAGTAATATCAGAAGGGCCTGGAGACGTGACTGATGAACAAAGAAATGTTATTTTTAGAGCCAGGAATGTCTGCATTGTTCATTCTGGACCTTATTTTGAAATTGTCATATTTTTTTAGTTTTCGTGAAATTGGCCAAATTGCAAATTTCTGACCACATTATTAGGTAGTTGAAATCAGTAAATGGGCAGTTTCTTGTATTCAATCGATAGAGAAAATGAAGTTCTAAAGAAATAGCTATGAGTTTGGGCGACTGGAACAATGGAATTAGCCGAAAATAGGGCTCAAAGTGGGCGAAATCGCCGATTTGTAAACAGCGCCGAGGTCGTTAACTTCGCAAGAGCATAATTCCGTCAGTTTTCCATCAAATTTCGTTTTTTTGGTGTCATTACAATCGGGAAAAGATTCTCTATCATTTCATAAGAAAAAATAATTTTTTTTTTTTTTTTAAATTTTGCGACACCAGGAGACACCTCAGGATTGGGGGTTGCGACAGTCAAAGAGTTAATATAATTTAGTGTAAACTTGTTGTCTGGCATTTATATGCATTTATAAATGGAAAAAAATGGAGTTCTGCCTTCCGGCGATGTCTGCTTTCCAGCGACAGCCTGGAACCTAACCCGCCGTATAAGTGGGGCCCTACTGTAATAATATAAAGCAATATATTTACGATTTAGCTATTACCACAAATATAAGCAATATAAAATTATAAGAACATGTAATATACATTATACATTGTGACCCATTCAGGGGTCGCAATAACGACCAAAACAGTCAAAGGGTTAAGACTACAAATATTTTGAGATAAGTAATGAGTGTACTGTATATGCATTTTATCGCTCTGGGGCACTTTAAATGCCTAGTATATACCGTTATGTTCACTCGAGGAGAAACAAAGCCAGATTGACTCACGACAGCTGCAAGGGGAGGCTCGCAGGTGCAGGCAGGTGGACAGGTCTGGTACGCGGGATGAAACATGGGGTGCACTGCAAAACTCAGGACAAAATTTAGCCGAAAAAAATGGTTCTAAACTCGAAGCGTACAATACTCAGGGCAGATGAAACTCAGGATTTCACTGTAAATAAAAATTACAGTAGACCCTCGGTTATCAGCCGTTCCTGTTATTGGCCAACTCAGTGATCAGCCAGTTTTTTGGCTCCTGGTGATCGGCTGCTATTTTGGTGATTGGTCGTTTTTGGACACGTCCATCTGCCAGCTGGGGCCGCTTGCACGTCAGTGTGACTGTGTCTTTCGGTATGTAAGGAAGCTTCTGCTCATGCATCCAAACATTTCGCTTGTTTTCCATTGTTTTTTGTGTTTTTTTGCAGTGTAATTGTGAAGTAAGTAACCATGGCTCCAAAGAAAGTTCCTAGTAAAGTTCGTGTGGTAAAGAAAGTGAGAAACACAACAGAATTTAAGCGTGAAGTGCAGCAGGCATGCAGAGAGTGCAGCAGGCATGCAGGGAGTATAGCAGGCATGCAGAGAGTGTAGCAGGCATGCAGGATGTGTAGCAAGCATGCAGGGAGTGTAACAGGCATGCAGGGAGTGTACCAGGCATGCAAGAAATGTAACAGGTATGCAAGGAGTGTAACAGGCATGCAGGGAGTGTGTAGCAGGCATGCAGGGAGTGTAGTAGGCATGCAATGAGTGTAACAGGCATGCAGTGAGTGTAACAGGCATGAAGGGAGTGTAGCAGGCATGCATGAAGTGTAGCAGGCATGCAGGAAGTGTAGCAGGCATTCCAGAAGCCAGCATTAGTCTTCAATAAAGGTATGTAATAAATACTGATTTAATTGTTAAAAAAATTATTTTTTGGTGAATATTTTTGTCTGGAACAGATTAATTGTAATTACATTAATTCTTGTGGGAAATGTTATTTCGGTGTTCCGCCATTTCAGTTTTAGGCCGAGCTTCTGGAACAGATTACAGCCAATAACCGAGGGTCCACTGTAATCCGTTCCAGACACCAAAAAATATTAACAAAAAATACATTTTTTAAAGATTAATTATAGCTTTGCATACACAAAACAATGAGAAAGAAATATAAAACACCAATTTTAATAATAAATGAATATTAGATACCTTTATTGAAGACTTCTCCATGGGGAAGTGGAACAGAATTCTTCCTCCGTAAGCCATGCGTGTTGTAAGAGGCGACTAAAATGCCGGGAGCAAGGGCCTAGTAATCCCTTCTCCTGTATAAATTACTAAATTTAAAAAGAGAAACTTTCATTTTTCTTTTTGGGCCACCTTGCCTTGGTGGGATATGGCCGGTTTGTTGAAAAAAAAAAAATATTGAAGACTATTATTGGCATATGGATGAAGACAAGGAGGGGAGAGGGAGGAGAGTTTACTGTTTGAAGGAGAATCCCCCTCCATAAGGACACTTCAGGTATCAAAGCCCTCTCTGGGGTTACTTCCCTTCTTTGTCTTTTACTGCCACTAGAACCAGCTTGAGAGTCACTGGACCCCTGTCACACAAAAAAACTGTCCAGAGAGATCTGTTTCTGGCATTTCTTTAAAATTTGCTTGAAGTGGGACAAGGTTTTGTCGCTGAACACGTTCCAAATATGGCTTGTTTGAGCTTGGTCAGGGTGACATTTCTCCACAAAACTTTGCAACTCAATCCACTTTGCACATATGTCCTTAATCACTGAAGAAGGCACATTCTCCCCTCTCTCTTCCTCCTCTTCTGAAGCAAATTCCTTAGCTGTGGTCTGTTGCTGTTCCAGATGAAGGTCTTGCAGCTCTTCAGCGGTTAGCTCTTTCCTGTGGTCCTCCACTAATTCTTCCATATCCTGGCCACTCACATCCAACCCCATGGACTTCTCCAAAGCCCCAATATATTCCACAACAGGCAAAGGGTCGACAAGGTCAGGGTCAGGGTCAGCCTCAAATCCTTTAAAATCCTTCTCTTGGACACATTCTGGTCACAATTTTCTCCAAGCAGAGTTCAAAGTCCTGGAAGTCACTCTCTGCAAAGCCTTACCTATAAGGCTTGGATGAAATTGAAGTGATTCCTCCAGAACTCTCTTACGGTCAAGTCAGCGTCCGGGTCATTTCAAAGAACCTTTGAAACGTTGCTTTTGTTTAGAGTTTTTTGAAGTTAGCAATGACCTGCTGGTCCATGGGCTGGATGAAAGGAGTGGTGTTAGAAGGCAAGAACTTCACTGTTATAAAACTTAACTACACAGACAATTGGTCTGCCAAGTTTGGAGGATAAGCAGGAGCATTGTCCAGTACCAGGAGGCACTTGAGTGGCAATTTATTTTCCTGGAGGTATTTTTTCACACTCAGGCCAAACACTTCATGGACCCAGTCAATGAAAATTTGCCTTGTGACCCATGCCTTATTATTAGCTTTCCACGGCATTGAACATTCTGGGATTTTCAGAGTGATACATGAGTAAAGGCTTCACTTTGAAATCCCCACTAGAGTTACCATAGAACAAAAGAGTAAGCCTATCCTTCATAGGCTTGTGTCCTGGCAGTGCCTTTCCCTTCTGTGTGATGCAGGTCCTCTTTGACATATTCTTCCAAGAGAGGCCTGTTTCATCACAAATGAACACTTGTTGGGGGAGGAATCCTTCAGCCTCTACATACTCCTTGAATTCATTTGTCTGAACTTGCAGCCTCGCCATGCCTTACAACACTGTATATGCCACTATGCTTCTTAAATCTCTCAAACCAGCCTTTGCTGGCCTTAAATTCACTAACAGCAGCACTTGTTCCAGGCATTTTCTTCACAAGATCCGCATGCAATTGCCTTGCCTTTTCACAAATGATTGACTCCACAACACTATCTCACGCTAATTGCATAATTGTTGATCCACACCAACAATAACTTCTCCACATCTTAGATTATTGGTGATCTTTGTTTGGTTAGCATATTTATTCTTTTCACAACATTAGCTTCCTTGATTTCTACTTTCTTTGCCAGGATGGAAGTGACTGTTGATTTGGAATTCCCATACATCCTGGCAAGCTCCAGAACAAGTACACCACTCTCATACTTTGCTACAATTTCTTTCTAGAATTCTATTGTGTTTCTCACTTTCTTTACCACTTCTTATTTGAAATTATCATTTGTATTTCATGTTGTAATTTGTTTACTGTAATTTTTACCACTGAATATATCATTGCTTAGTTAATGCTCTGCATACAAGGGGCTTTTGGCATGTACACCCAATCACTACATTTCTTTGTACAACTATGTATCATGTCCAAATAAAAAATAAATAAATAAAAATAAATAAGCTTTCTTTGGGCCCATGGTGGCTTATTTCGCAGCTGCACTCAATAAACCACAAAAAAATAATGGATTATAATGAAATGCTTGGATGAATGCACGGAGTCTTGCTCACTCACCCAGAGACACAGCCAGACTGACTCACAAATGCAGGTGGGCAGACACATCCAATACAGCTGATTTCTGAGTTGCCTGCCAAAATCCAGGATAGAATTTTGGCCAAAAAGGCTACCGAAATCCGATTTGGCAATATCTGAGGGTCCACTGTATACTCCTCTCTTAGCGACAAATTTGTTTACCAACATGGTCTTAGGAACAGTACTACATTATTACGTGAGGAGAGGAGTTTACTCAGGTATGCATACTAATTACTGAATCAGAGGTGTATTTTTAAATTACAGTGGACCCCCGCATAACGATTACCTCCGAATGTGACCAATTATGTAAGTGTATTTATGTAAGTGCGTTTGTACGTGTATGTTTTGGGGTCTGAAATGGACTAATCTACTTCACAATATTTCTTATGGGAACAAATTCGGTCAGTACTGGCACCTGAACATACTTCTGGAGTGAAAAAATATCGTTAACCGGGGGTCCACTGTATTATCATGTGACCTCCGTTGACCCAGCAAAATTGATATTCCAGCAAAGCTTAGGAACCAAGGGTGCCAGAAAATTGGTGATGTACCTGTATTATTATTATTATTATAAATTATGAATGGTGTACCTGTCTCAGCCAAGTCTCCCTGTGCTACAGTACTTGCTCTCAGTTCTAGCCTGCCGCTGCTCAAGGTGCGGAATCCGAGGCGACTCACTCGACTCTTCTGAAAGGAAAAATGGCAATGTCTATCCAATGTTGTGTTAAAAATAATTCCTATCAATATACTGTAAATTCAATTTTAAAATTGAGTGAAAGTTGAAAGAGACTGAGGTACAGTGTTTATAAATTGCAAACACACACAGAGTAGAACACAATCTTGAAATTAAGTAAAAGCTAAATATAAAAGAAAGAAGAGTAACAATTATGTATATGATACTAACAAACTGAGGAAAAAGACACATATACAAACATGTAAGACATATTAAGAGGAGACACTTCAGTCATGAGATTTTGACTCCTCTGATACAGAGTACCTGAAAGACAGTACATATAATAGGTGAAATAAGAGTTCAGATCTGGTATAGGCAAAGTCAGGTCAAGTTTAACCAGATGTCAGCTAATGTGGCTACTATAGCCACTACCTATAGCCACCAACCCATGTGGACAATGTAATACACAGGAGAAATTGTGAGGAACCTGTCTACCCATCTCAGTGAATACAGGTATACATGTAGCAGGGATTCTAGGTAGTAGGTTGGTAGACAGCAACTGCCCAGGGAGGTACTACCGTCCTGCCAAGTGAGTGTAAAACGGAAGCCTGTAATTGTTTTACATGATGGTAGGATTGCTGGTGTCCATTTTTCTGTCTCATAAACATGCAAGATATCAGGTATGTCTTGCTACTTCTACTTACACTTAGGTCACACTACACATACATGTACAAGCATATATATACACACCCCTCTGGGCTTTCTAATATTTTCTTACTAGTTCTTGTTCTTGTTGTTTATTTTCTCTTACCTCCATGGGGAAGTGGAACAGAATTCTTCGTCCGTAAGCCATGCGTGTTGTAGGAGGCAACTAAAATGCCGGGAGCAAGGGGCTAGTAACCTCTTCTCCTGTATATATTACTAAATGTAAAAGGAGAAACTTTTGTTTTTCCTTTTGGGCCACCCCGCCTCGGTGGGATACGGCCGGTGTGTTGAAAGAAAGAAAAGAATGTAGCAGGGATGACCAGCAGCGCATGTATTGTTTACATGGATACTGACTGACAGCACATAAATTAGAAAGATGCTTGGTCTTCACTTAACCTGAATTAAGAAGGCATTGTTGCTTAGAAGCTTCTCTTGTCATTGTTTTTAATAGTACTATTTTTTATTATTTTTTTTTTTTTTTATTATCACACCGGCCGATTCCCACCAAGGCAGGGTGGCCCGAAAAAGAAAAACTTTCACCATCATTCACTCCATCACTGTCTTGCCAGAAGGGTGCTTTACACTACAGTTTTTAAACTGCAACATTAACACCCCTCCTTCAGAGTGCAGGCACTGTACTTCCCATCTCCAGGACTCAAGTCCGGCCTGCCGGTTTCCCTGAATCCCTTCATAAATGTTACTTTGCTCACACTCCCAAAAGCACGTCAAGTATTAAAAACCATTTGTCTCCATTCACTCCTATCAAACACGCTCAAGCATGCCTGCTGGAAGTCCAAGCCCCTCGCACACAAAACCTCCTTTACCCCCTCCTCCAACCCTTCCTAGGCCGACCCCTACCCCGCCTTCCTTCCACTACAGACTGATACACTCTTGAAGTCATTCTGTTTCGCTCCATTCTCTCTACATGTCCGAACCACCTCAACAACCCTTCCTCAGCCCTCTGGACAACAGTTTGGTAATCCCGCACCTCCTCCTAACTTCCAAACTACGAATTCTCTGCATTATATTCACACCACACATTGCCCTCAGACATGACATCTCCACTGCCTCCAGCCTTCTCCTCGCTGCAACATTCATCACCCACGCTTCACACCCATATAAGAGCGTTGGTAAAACTATACTCTCATACATTCCCCTCTTTGCCTCCAAGGACAAAGTTCTTTGTCTCCACAGACTCCTAAGTGCACCACTCACTCTTTTTTCCCTCATCAATTCTATGATTCACCTCATCTTTCATAGACCCATCCGCTGACACGTCCACTCCCAAATATCTGAATACGTTCACCTCCTCCATACTCTCTCCCTCAATCTGATATTCAATCTTTCATCACCTAATCTTTTTGTTATCCTCATAACCTTACTCTTTCCTGTATTCACCTTTAATTTTCTTCTTTTGCACACCCTACCAAATTCATCCACCAATCTCTGCAACTTCTCTTCAGAATCTCCCAAGAGCACAGTGTCATCAGCAAAGAGCAGCTGTGACAACTCCCACTTTGTGTGTGATTCTTTATCTTTTAACTCCACGCCTCTTGCCAAGACCCTCGCATTTACTTCTCTTACAACCCCATCTATAAATATATTAAACAACCACGGTGACATCACACATCCTTGTCTAAGGCCTACTTTTACTGGGAAAAAATTTCCCTCTTTCCTACATACTCTAACTTGAGCCTCACTATCCTCGTAAAAACTCTTCACTGCTTTCAGTAACCTACCTCCTACATAGTACTAATGAACAGAAAGCAGATACCCAGTAGCTATAACGTCTCCACTGCTTTAAACCACATGATTCTTGGCCTTGCTGTGCTACAGGTAACCTTCTATAATGCTGAACCCTAATTTTAAATCTGCTTAAATCTGACCTGACATTGTTTATACCTGACCAGAACTCTTGCCTCACTTCTTACCTATGCTACATATACTGATGTATCCTATGTATCACTGAAGCAAACTAAATCCCAGCACCAAAATGTTTCCTATTCAAATGTTTTCAATGTACAGTAGACCGTCATTTAGCATGAGTTTATTTGGCACGATTTGGGTATAGCACGATTGAAGAATTGGGGCACCATTTTATGTAACAAGTCTTAAGATGAATTTAACACGGTTCAGTTTGCGGGAAGGAAAAAAATTTCCTTTTTCCTCAGAGCGGCTGCCTTGTTGTGGATCAGCGGGGGAGACCTCCAGCTGTCCCCAGCCTCCCCCCGACACCACCCCATCATCCCAGGATTCGTACTTCATATGTGTCCAGTCCAACTACCCCTGCTACAAGCTTGTGATTGTGAATTGTGTTTTGATCTTTTAATTGCTATATCTTGTATCTGCCAAGCAATCATGACACCCAGTAGGCATTCCAGTGTTGCTCAAAGTGGCAAGAAAAGGTGTAAGCATTTAAGTCTTAGAATTAACGAGGGAAACAAAGATATTAGATAAAACATCCTTTGGCCATAATGAAGTGTTACTTTGTACACACAAAAAAGAGGTAATCGTAAGTTTGTGTGATTGACTGACTTACTGAATGACTGACTTGCTGAGTGACTCACTGAGTGACTTGACTGATTTATGGAATGATTTGACTGACTTACTGAAAGACTTGACTGACTTACTGAGTGACTTGACTGACTTACTGAATGACTTGACTGACTTACTGAACAACTTGATTGACTTACTGAATGACTTGACTGACTTGACTTACTGAATGACTTGACTGACTTACTGAACGACTTGACTGACTTACTGAATGAATTGACTGACTTACTGAATAAATGAACTTACCTACTGAATGAATGGACTTACTGAATGAATTGACTGACATACTGAATGACTTGACTGACTTACTAAATGACTTGAGACTTACTAAATGACTTCACTGACTTACTGAATGACTTGACTGACTTACTGAATGACTTGATTGCCTTACTGAACGACTTGGCTGACTTATTGAATGATTTGACTGCCTTACTGAATGATTTGACTGCCTTACTGAATGATTTGACTGACTTACTGAGCGACTTAAGACTTCCTGAATAACTTGAGACTTATTGAATGACTTGACTGACTTACTGAATCACTTGACTGACTTACTGAATGACTTGACTGACTTACTGAGCGACTTGATTGACTTACTGAATGACTTGACTGACTTATTGAATGACTTGACTGACTGAATAACTTGACTGACTTACTGAATCACTTGACTGACTTGCTGAATGAATTGAGACTTAATCACTTGACTTACTGAATCACTTGACTGACTTACTGAACAACTTGATTGACTTACTGAATGACCTGACTGACTTACTGAATGGCTTGATTGACTGAATGACTTTAAGTTAGACACCCCAGTACAACCATCAACTTCAGTACCAGAACCTCTACCACCCACCTCAGCCCAGTAGGGCCACAACATAACTCTCCACTCTCTTCACAATCATCCACAAACACCAGCACCCACAAATTTAAGGTACGAAATACTATTATTTCTGTTACATTTGTGGTCTTAAGCAGTAAAAACAACAAATACATCAAAACAATAAGCTACAATTACATATTCACTTCTATTTTTGTAAGATGTGAGGGCCTAAAAAAAGTTGTTTGGCTTTTTTGGGGCTCTCAAAATGTAACCCTATTTTTCCCATAAGCTCTTCAGTTCATCTAACACGGTTTCACCTTACACGGTGTTTCCAGGAACGTAACTACCGTGTTAAATAATGGTCTACTGTAGGTTTAAAAATGCTAGCTGAACCAGTGGTTCTGGAGATTTCTGGCAGAGAGTTCCAGATTTTGGGCCCTTTTATGTACAATGAGTTTTTGAAAAGATTTAGCCTGACATGGGGAATGTCATAGAGGTTTTTGTGCCTAGTGTTGTGTCTATGAGTCCTATTGCAACTGTCAAAAAAACATTTCTGGTAGGGATTTATATCAGAATTGATTATTCTGTAAATGTAGGTTGCACAATAGTACAAGTGAATGTTTTGTATAGTGAATAGGTTTAGGTCTTTGAAGAGTGGGGAGGGGGAGAGTTGTCTAGCAGTGGACTGTGTCATCATTCACACTGCGGTTTTTGCTGTGCTATTATTGGTTTTAGGTGTTGCTGTGCTATTACTGGTTTTAGGTGGTTTTTTGTTGAGGAACCTCAGGCACAAATAGCATAGGTGAGGTAGGGGTAGATCAGTGAATAGTATAGTGTAAGTAGTGCTGTTTGTGGTACATAATAACCTATCTCTGAGAGGATGCTGACTGTTTTAGAAACTTTTTTTGTTATGTGTTATATGTGGGTGTTGAATTTCAGGTTGCTATCAAGGTGCAGACCCAGGAATTTTCCCTCATTATGTTGAGCACTAAGGATGTTGTTAAGCATAATGTTTAGTTAGACCTCATTTGTTCTACTCCCAAACAAACTGTAAAAGGTTTTGTTTATATTAAGTGTAAGTTTGCTGACGGTCAGCCAGGTTGCTATTTTTGCAAGTTCTTCATTAACCCTTAAGCTGTCCAAACGTAGATCTACGTTTTCGCACGTAGTGCTCCGACCTTGATTTTCTCCATAAGAAACAATGTAAAATAAACGTAGATCTACATTCGGAGCGCTATGCGAGCAAATGTAGATCTACGTTTGGACAGTTTAAGGGTTAACAATAGTGTTGAGTGAGGCTAGATTTGGGTGGGAAATGACAAAAGTCGTGTCGTCAGTAAAGAGAATAGGCATAAGTTGTTGAGATATGCTTGGAAGATAGTTTATGTACAAAATGATTGTAGGTGGGTGCCCATTTTGTTCCATGGTGCAATTGGTCAACTACACCATCTCCTGTCATCAGGACCAGATCCAAACAGCTGTCTGCACATGAGATCTGCGATAAGTTGTGTAACACAGCTACTGCTGTTATTCTTAGCAAAGTTCACAACATGGAATTTGAAGGCAATATTATTATTATTATATGATTAATGTCTCTGCTTAGATATACAGTAGAGCCCCACTTATATGGCAGGTTAGGTTCCAGGTTACGGCTGGAAAGCGGACAGCACCGGAAAGCAGAACATCATTTTTTCAACTTATAAATGCATATAAACGCCAGATAACAAGTTTACACTAACATATATTAAGGTAGTAATAGAACTAGGCATTAAAAACAATAAAAAGTAAAATACACACACAGTACACTCATTACTTATCTTAAAATATTTGTAGATTTAACCCTTTCAGGGTCCAGAGGCCAAATTTCAAAGTGCACACCAGGGTCCAAGAATTTAAAAAAAAAAAAATTATTTTTCTTATGAAATGGTAGAGAATCTTTTTCTGAAGGTAATAAAACAAAAAGTATGAAATTTGATGGAAAATTGACGAAATTATGCTCTCTCGAATTTTGATGTGTCAGCAATATTTACGAATCGGCGATTTTACCAATTTTGACTCCCATTTTAGGCCAATTACATTATTCCAGTCGACCAAGTTCTTAGCTATTTCACTAGTATTACTTCTATTCTATCGATTGAGCACAAGAAATCACCAAGTCAACTGTTTCAACTACAAAATAAAGAGATCGGAAATTGGTAATTTGGCCAATTTAACACAAAGTTCAAAATATTCCAATTTCAAAATAGGGTCCAGAAAAAACAATGTAAGTATTCCTGGCACTAAACTAACATTTCCTCTGTTCATTAGTTATGTTATGAGGCTTTACAAATGAATTCCATTTTGATTTTTTATTCAAATAATGAATTTTTATTCAAGCCAAAAAACAGAAGATTTACTGTTATGCAATATTGTAATACAGTGGACCCTCAAGTTTTGGCAGCATCGACTTTCGCGAAATCCGACTTTCGACAAGTTTTTTCGGCAAAATTTGGCCTCGCGGTTCGTGATTAGACTCGTGATTCGGCAACCGTCTGGTACCTATCCGCCCATCACCGCGCACATAAAGCCAGTCTCCCACGCCATTCACGCTCAGTGTGCCATTGTTTACCAACACGTGACCATCACCCCACGGGTTCATATGTAATAATCCATTGATTTTTGTGATTGCAACTGCTAAATAAGTCACCATGGGCCCAAGGAAAGCTAGTGCAAGCCCTTTGGTAAAGAAAGTGAGAAACACGATTGAATTCAAGAAGGAAATCATTGAAAAATATGAGAGTGGAGTGCGTGTTACAGAGCTTACCAGGATGTATGGCAAACCCAATTCAACCATCACTTCGATCGTGGCGAAAGGAAAGGAAATAAAGTGTGCTGTTGTTGCAAAAGGGGTAGATATGCTGACAAAAAGGAGATCACAAATCCTTGAAGAAGTGGAGAGGTTATTGTTGGTGTGGATTACCGAAAAACAGTTAGCAGGAGATAGTGTTACTCAGTCGATAATATGTGAAAAGGCAAGGCAGTTGCATGACGATCTCATAAAGAAAATGCCTGCAACAAGTGGTGATGCTTGTGATTTTAAGGCCAGCAAAGGTTGGTTTGAGAGATTTAAGAAGCGTAGTGGCGTTCACAGTGTGATAAGGCATGGTGAGGCTGCCAGTTCTTACAAAATTGCAGCTGAGAAGTTTGTACAGGAGTTTAAGGAGTGCATAGACACTGGAGAATTCAAACCCCAACAAGTGTTTAATTGTGATGAAACAGGCCTCTTTTGGAAGAAAATGCCAAAGAGGACCTACATCACGCAGGAGGAAACGGCACTCCCAGGACACAAACCTATGAAGGATAAGCTTACTCTCATGTTTTGTAGTAACGCTAGTGGGGATTTTAAAGTGAAGCCTTTACTGGTGTATCACTCTGAAAATCCCAGAGTGTTCAAGAAAAACAGTTTTGCCAAGAGTAGTTTGTGTGTGATGTGGAAGGCTAGCAGTAAGGCATGGGTCACAAAAGATATTTTCCTAGTCTGGTTTAATGAAGTGTTTGGCCCCAGTGTGAAGAAATACCTCCTGGAAAATAAACTGTCACTCAAGTGCCTCCTGGTAATGGACAATGCTCCTGCTCATCCTCCAGACTTGGAAGAGCAAATAGTGGATGAGTTTAGTTTCATCACGGTCAAGTTCTTGCCCCCTAATACAACTCCTCTCCTCCAGCCCATGGACCAGCAGGTCATTTCAAACTCCAAAAAGCTCTACACAAAAGCAGTGTTTCAAAAGTGCTTTGAAGTGACCTCAGACACAGAATTGACCCTAAGAGAGTTCTGGAAAGATCACTTTAATATCCTCCATTGCATAAACCTTATAGGTAAGTCTTGGGAGGGAGTGACTTCCAGGACTTTGAACTCTGCTTGGAGAAAACTGTGGCCAGAAAGTGTAGAAGAGAGGGATTTTGAAGGGTTTGGGGCTGACCCTAAGGAGCCTATGCCAGTTGTGTTGTTTACCTAGAGTTTACCTGGAGAGAGTTCCGGGGGTCAATGCCCCCGCGGCCCGGTCTGTGACCAGGCCTCCTGGTGGATCAGAGCCTGATCAACCAAAATATCATCACCACATTTGTGAATGTATATTAGACCCACCAGCTGGCGTGTATTAGACGTGTGAGGTCGTTTGTTTACTCTTGAACATCGGCAAAAATTTAACATTTCCGCTACTTTGAGCTCAGTTTCAAGTCATTTCCAGTGCTAAAACCAATAAAAATCATCTCCATTTCTGTAATATGTCTTCCAATATATCAAATGAGACCAAGAAATTGCAAATACAACTATAAAAAAACATACAAAAAAAAAAACACTGCAAAATTGCTGTTTTAATTGAAAATCACGGACTCAGTTTTTTTCTCTCACTATACACTGTGTGCTGTAGGATTTGTTTTATGTGGTGCACACATACCACATAGATGTATTCTCTCATATCTAGGCCCAAATTTACCACTCACAGCTTATCAGAGTGAGTTGAGCTCATGGCATAGATCTACGGTTTGGACCCTGAACGTAAAGCCGTAGCTCTATGGCACAGACCCTGAAAGGGTTAATGTAGGGTGAGAGGTGAGTAGTATTTATTGTAAGAAGTCAGGTGTCGGAGGTATGGTAGCCAGCCAAGACCACCCCACTGACACATAATATACTACGACATTTAAAGTGCCCTAGGGCAATAAAATGCATATACAGTACACTCATTACTTACCTTAAATATTTGTAGTCTTAATGTAGGGTGAGAGGTGAATAAACAAGGGTTTTCTTCTATTTTCTTAATAGTTCTTGTTCTTCTTTATTTCCTCTTATCTCCAAGGGTAAGTGGAAAAGAATTCTTCTCTGTAAGCTTTGTTTTCTTTTTGGGTCACCCTGCTTTGGTGGAATACGGATGGTTTGTTAAAAAGAAAAAAAAAAAAAGTCTTACATGCCTCAGAATTGCTTCCGACAGCAAGGTAGGAAGAGTCGGACATCAGCTGACACCCTCCAATGAAGAACCTTCGCAGTGATGCAAGTGGAGACAGTTGTGCAGGTCGCCAGGTATCCACAGAGTGAACCTTAGCCTCAGTCTCTCTCCTGCAGCCAATATTACCACACATAGTTTCTGTAACAGTTATTACACATATTTTAGACACAGTGCATGTTGATTTACAGCCAAGTGTGCTTGGATAAAGTACAGGTCTCCCTCAACATTTGTGAAGGTTAGGGAATCAAAAGCCTCGCAAATGTTTGGTGCCCCAATATATTGTAGGGAAATATAATACAATACTGCTCCCTTAACTTGTTGAACCATGAACAATCATCAAATACATGAAAACATCATAAAATATTGTACAGTGGACCCTCGACCAGCTATGGCATCGATTAACGATAAATCTGACTAGCGATACATTTTATCGCAAAAATTTTGCCTCGATTAGTGCTAAAATACTCGACCAACACTATTCCTTCTGTCTGAGACGCGTCCACTTCTGGCCAGTGTTTACAAGCCAGCCAGCCACCGCGGTCGCTTCCAAGCATACAATCGGAACATTTCATATTATCACAGCCTTTTTAGTGATTGCACCTGCAAAATAAGTCACCATGGGCCCCAAGAAAGCTTCTAGTGCCAACCCTACAGCAAAAAGGGTGAGAATTACTATGGATATGAAGAAAGAGATCATTGCTAAGTATGAAAGTGGAGTGCATGTCTCCGAGCTGGCCAGGCTGTACACAAAACCCCAATCAACCATCGCTACTATTGTGGGCAAGAAAACGGCAATCAAGGAAGCTGTTCTTGCCAAAGGTGCAACTATGTTTTCAAAACTGAGATCGCAAGTGATAGAAGATGTTGAGAGACTGTTATTGGTATGGATAAACGAAAAACAGATAGCAGGAGATAGCATCTCTCAAGCGATCATATGTGAAAAGGCTAGGAAGTTACATGACGATTTAATTAGAAAAATGCCAGCAACTAGTGGTGATGTGAGTGAATTTAAGGCCAGCAATGGTTGGTTTGAGAGATTTAAGAATCGTAGTGGCATACATAGTGTGATAAGGCATGGTGAGGCTGCCAGTTTGGACCAAAAAGCAGCTGAAAAATATGTGCAGGAATTCAAGGAGTACATAGACAGTGAAGGACTGAAACCTGAACAAGTGTTTAATGGTGACACTGACAATGTTGTGAAACACTTTAGGAATGTCATAAAGGAACGGGAGGTACAGGCCTCTATGGGCAGATATGTTGTGCGACAGAGGTCCAGTGACTCTCAAGCTGGTCCTAGTGGCATTAAAAGAAGAAGGGAAGTAACCCCGAAAAAGGACTTGCCACCTCAAGTCCTAATGGAAGGGGATTCCCCTTCTAAACACTAAGACCATCAACACACTCCCCTCTTCCCATCCCATCAATCATCACCAGATCTTCAATAAAGGTAAGTGTCATGTAACTGTGCATGTCTTCTTCAGTTTGTGTGTATTAAAACTAATATTTCATGTGTTAAAATTTTTTTTTCAATACTTTTAGGTGTCTTGCACGGATTAATTTGATTTCCATTATTTCTTATGGGGAAAATTAACTTGACTAACGATTATTTTGACTACCGATGAGCTCTCAGGAACGGATTAATAGCGTTAGTCGAGGGTCCACTGTACTATATACATACATGTTATGGTTTAATAACATGTACGTTATTAAATGCCACTGCCTCAACCACTGCCTCCACCACTGCCTCAACCACTGCAGTGTACTGCCTCGCATTCTTGTACAGCTTCATTCTTCAATTCCATCGTGTTTCTCAATTCTTTTTACCAAAGGGCTGACACTAGCAAGTTTCTTTGGGCCCATGGTTAATTATGTAGCAATTGCACTCAATCTACAAGCACCAAACACAATGAATTATTGTGAAATGTTTGGAAGAGCGTGGAGGCTAATGCTCACTCCAGCATAAACAAAGCCAAACTGACTCATGATGCCTCCATGACTGCTTCAATCCTCATATTTCTGTAAAATTTCCTTTTTCAATTCTATCATATTATTATTATTAATAACATGTATTATTATTATTATCCTTATTGTTATTATTATTATTATTAATAAAATTGATGTTATTTAAAACCATCAGGCGTCAGGCACGGCCCCCTCCCAAACTTGTTTCAGGGTTCAAAAAATTTTCGAAAAAAAAAAAAAAAAATTATTATGAAATGAGAGTTTTTTTTTTTTTTTTTGTGGTGTATCCTTTCGTTCGAATAGTATCAACATAGGTGTTTTCGATCGAACTGTCGAGAGCGGAAATTTTGCCGTTAAAATGCATCGAGTGTCAGATTTATCAATGTCGAAGCCATAGCAATGTCGGGGGATTCACTGTAACAGATGGATACAAAACGGCCATCACTAGATGGCAGTGTTTACCACAACAAAGTGGGGAGCGACTGTGGCCCACCTCCGCCTGTCTACAACATAATGACATTTTTATTAATTCTAGAGAATATATCATGTTTGCTATGTTATTTTATTGTTTGTTATGTAATATTAGATGAAACTGTGAGAGATAAATAAGCCTTATAGATGTTATTAGTGCAATTATTCTTGAAGTTTTTTGCCGGTCTCAGTACAAACTCTTGTCCATGCGACCACCGCCATACCACTACATGATTGACATAATTTTAATTTCTAGAGTGATATCTTGTTTCTATGTTATTTAAATTGATTGTTATGTCATATTACATAACTGCAATTTTCCTTTTTTTTGTGTTTTTTTTTTTTTTTTTTTTTTTTTTTTTTTTATTAGAAGAAATTTTAGAATATTTTTTAGCATACTACAACACAGAGGTAACAAAAAAATACTAGGTTAGAAAGAGCAGCATGCCCAAAGCCACTTATATGCATAGCATTTTGGGCTGGCTTTCTTACTTAAAAACTTAACTTAGAATTAACTAAGCAATGTGAAACAGTGATAAGTCATTATTTTGTAAACAGGATATCTATATTGCAAAATATGAGTTTTACAAAGACAGGTAATATGGTTTTTGCATGCTTTGCTGGTCATTCAGTGGAAGGAGTATTCTGTTAGGTAGTGTATTTAAAAAAATAAATCAAAGTTAGATTGGGTCCTGGTTTTACATTTATGTGATATAATCTGTGAGTAACATTTTGGTATACAATTTATATGGTTCAGTTATTCAGTATTTATTTGGCTTTTTGAGAGTAGTAAGGTGAAATTGAGAAGAGACTTGTGAATTTATAAACAGGTAGTGTTACTTTTTACAGTTACAGGTAATGATATTCCAGATTTTAGGGACCTTTTATGTGCATTGAGTTTTTGCATAGCGTTGAGATGGACACGAGGAAACAATCCAAAGAGTGATCTGTGCCTTGTGTTATGGTATAAGATGTTGTTTTTGTTAAGGTTGGCAAGGAGATGTTTGAGGGGAGGATCTAATATCAGAGTTAAGGGTTCTATGTAGTTAATAGGTGAAATAATATGTCATGGATGTTTGTATGGTGAGAGTTAGGGTGGTGTTTTGATTGGTGGGAGTGTGTTGCCTGTAGTGAGAATTTGTTATCATTCTCAAAACTGTGATAGATAAATAAACAAGCCATTAGATGATTATTAGTGAAATTATTCACTAATAGCTAGACCCAATCTATACAGTTATTGGCGGAATGTATTATAATTATCTAAAAAAGACCCAATACCTCTATAACAACAAGCCACTGCCTAAAAAAACTAAACAGATGACTGCACAAGAGGACTACAGTCCCTGGCTAAACACCCAGTACCTCAAATACCATAAATTACAAAGCAACCTATCAAAAAACAGTACGAATTGGGCCACAAAACCAGAGACCATACAAAAAATTACTCGTCAATCCTTACCGGGGCCTAATAATAAAATTAATAAATAATAATAAAATAAATACAATATAAATAAAAATAAATAAGTGTATTTTGCCCCGGGTATCCAGAAAAAACTCTCGTCCAATGCCAAAACGCCCATACAAATACATGAATGACATTTTTTATTTCATTTTACGAGTATATATTGGTTTCTATGTTATTTATATTTGTTTTTTATGTCATTTTAATGAAATGAGATATATTAAATAAGCCACAGAGTTGATATTAGCGAATTAATGAAGTACAGAATTCCACTGGAGAACAGTTTTTAATTCATTTCATTTACATTTAAATGATGGAAAAACTGACTCTGCAAACGAAAGCAAATTCAGTTGCAAGACAAGGTCATGGAATGGATTAAACTCACAAGTAGAGGTTTACATGTATTTACATATATAGACAGTTTGTTAGACAGCAGTCAACATGGGAGGTTTATACATTGCGAAGCCCTGTATTTTGTTTTTACCATGGACGTAAGATTGCTGGTGTCTTTTTTCTGGACTCATAACACATGCAAGGATTTCAGGTGCGGTCTTGCTACTTCTACTTACACCCTACGTCCAACAATTACACATGCAATTTACACATTTATGTCATACACATTCACCTGAGGTTTTTCCTATTGATTTTATCTGAATACGATGGAACCTGAGTTTCAGCCCTACTAAATCTTCAAGTTACGGAGCTAGACTAAAGTTGAAACAAAACCTAAACGTCGATAGCGATATTTCCATAAAGAAATAATTGTAAATCTTATTAATCTGTTCCCCAAAAATATTCACAAAAAAATCAATTTTTTTTTGAAGAATAAATACAGTTTTGATACAGAAAAAAAAAGGTTGATGAAGCAGAAAACGAATAGAAGTACAACTTAGATAACAAGTTCAGTGATACTTTCTCTAAGAAGATAAATACTGAGCAGATAAAACTTACGGACGCAGTAATAGTTAAACAGTTCTTTTTCCCTGTGATATGAACCAACAAACAGGTAAAGACAAATTTATCTGCAGATCATAAAGGGGACAACACAAGTGTTATTGTACCAGAGCTCAGGTATAAAAGAAGCCAGGTTACTAGGATCCCATGGTAGATAAAGTGTTATGCATAGATTTTCCACTAACATGATAGGAAAAAAGACTTAATTATTCCGCATCTATTAAAAAGTAAAGAAAGGGTATACATAAACGAGTGTTTACAAAAAACGTCAGATCCTCCTGTGTAGAGTCAG